TCTGCTTAGGTGGGAGATAGACCTGAGATTCACTGCCACTACCGCCACTTACTCATTTTGTGTGTGTGTGTGGGGGGGCAACTTAGTTCCACTAAACTTCACTTCTTCATCCATAAGATGGAGATTTAATAGCACCCTTGCAGAGATGTTGAGTGTGTTCAGTGCAATAAGATCTTTACAGTGCCTTGTGTGATGCTGGTAGTTAGGGCAGTTATTGATAATGATAATGAATAGTTTATATGACACATAGCCCTCATTAGATGACAAGGCACTATTGTGTTTTACATGTATTAACTCATTTATTCCTCATAAAATCCCCAGGAGATAGATAATACTATTATCCCCATTCTACAGATGACAAAACCAAGGCATAGACAGTTTAATGACTTGCACACAATCAATGTATTGTAGAGGTGGAATTTGAACACAGGCAATGAGGCTCCAGGCTGTACTTACAATTACTAAACTATCGTGACTTTAAACATGGTGGCTGTCTATTGTGGCACTATTTACAATAGCAAAGACATGGAACCAACCCAAATGCACATCACTGATAGACTGGATAAAGAAAACTGGTACATATACACCATGGAATACTATGTAGCCATAAAATTAAATGAGATCATGTCCTTGCAGGAACATGGATGAAGCTGGAAGCCATCATCCTCAGCAAACCAACACAGAAACAGAAAATCAAACACCGCATGTTTTCGTTCATAACTGGGAGTTGAACAATGAGAACACATGGACACAGGGAGGGGAAGAACATACACTGGAACCAGTTGGGGGGTGGGGGGCAAGGGGAGGGAGAGCATTAGGACAAATAGGTAATGCACACAGGGCTTAAAATCTAGATGATGGGTTGATAGATGCGGCAAACCCCCATGGCACACGTATACCCATGTAACAAACCGACACGTTCTGCACTTGTATCCTGGAACTTAGAGTAAAATAAAATAAAATGGTAGCTGTCATTATAAATAATAATTGCTAAGATTTACTGAGCACTGCTTATGTGCCAGGAACATGTTGACTCATTGCATTTGCTCAATAGTCCTATGAGGTAATTTCTGTTATTATCCCCACTTTATAGAAGAGCAAACTGAAGCATAGAAAAGTTGTACTATATGCCCAAGGTTAGAGAACTGATAAGATGCAGATATGGTATTCAGTCTCAGGCAGCCTGATGTCAAAGTCTTCCCTTTTAATTACCTGTGTATGATGATGATGATGAGAAGGAGAAAGAATGAAAAGAGGTGGAAAAAGAAGGAGGAGAGGTGGAAGACAAAAATAAATCTGCTTTACGCCAATAACCTATCATATGTCCAGGTGTCAAAAGTTAAGCTGACCAATCAGATTCCCTCTCTATAAACTTTAAATAGCAGGAGAGTAAACTCTAGGTCCACTCTAGGAGTGGGAGTGGACCCGAAAAGATACAGAAAGAAGATCAGAAAGTAAAGCCCAACCCTTGACACATGCTATGAGGAAGCCTGGCCACCTGGACAGTCATGTATAGATGTTCCAGCCGACGGCCTCAGCTGTGGCCACCTGGAGGGTCATGTACAGGTGTTCTAACCAACAGCCTCAGCTAAAGCCAGCATCAACTGCCAGACATGAGCAGTTAAGCCTTTGAGATGAATTGAGTGGCAGCCACCACCTGACTGCAATCATTTTAGAGAACCAAAGCCAAAAGCCTCTTAGCTGAGCCCCGAACTATAGGAAACATAATTTACAGCAATAATAAATGGCTGTTGCAAAAATAAAGGGATTGCTGTGTTCAAGTTTGGAGGCAGTTTGTTATACCCTAATATATACCACAACACATAGGCTCTGTAACTTGTCATAGCTGACCCAGGACTGGAAGCTGGCTCTCATGTAAAGGTGAGCCGCTCATCGTTTCTAATCAGTCACAGTGTAAGTAAGCCCTGCCTTGCCTGCCCTGACCCACTCTAGGTTTCACATCTTTTTTTTTTTTTTTTTTTTTTGAGACGGAGTCTTACTCTGTTGCCTAGGCTGGAGTGCAGTGGTGCGATCTCGGCTCACTGCAACTTCCACCTTCCGGCAGAGTTCAAGTGATTCTCCTGCCTCACCCTCCCAAGTAGCTGGGATTACGGGCACATGCCACCACACCCAGCTAATTTTTTGTAGTTTTAGAAAAGACGGGGTTTCACCATTTTAGACAGGATGGCCTTGATCTCCTGACCTCGTGATCCACCTGCCTCGGCCTCCCAAAGTGCTGGGATTACAGGCATAAACCACCATGCCTGGCATGGTTTCACATCTTGAACTGTTCTTCTTGCTCCTAAAGTTTTAGCTTCCGACCACATTAATTGTTTTTCCATCTCTGTCCACTCTCCTCCTCACCCTGGACACCAGGCTTAGGTGTGCAGTCCTGTTTTTGCTGCCTTAGCAGAGAAATCCCTGGATTTTCCTTTCTGAGACCATGAACCACACGCTCCCGCTGGTGCTCATTGTCCTGCATGGCCATCATTTCCAACCCAGCCCTCTAGGACCCGTGCTGAAGATGTCATTTCCATCTCAACTCCTTGTCCAGCATCTGGGCTCTGTCTGGGCTTCCTCTGACCTGGGATCAGGAAGCAAACATCGGTTCTGACTGTAGGGTCTTGGAGAACAACAGAAGGGCAGGTTCTGGATTCTACTTCTATTTTCCCAGATTGGAGATGGAGGGGTTGGCAGGGATTTTTGGTCTTTGGGCCCAAATGTGGAAAGCAGGGAGAGGCAGAGGGTGCTAGTGGCTTGCAATGGGCATGGGAGACCAATGGCATTTCTACTTTGCATGGCCAGGCAGATGTCTCTCAAGATGAGAGTGGCTAATCAGCTTGTCCATTTATAATAGCCAATGGACACTGGTTTCACAAATCAGAAAATTATCACACAGCAATAATAAGGCATCATTCAGTAGCCTTTCCAGTGGAAAGAATGGTTACAGTGGCAATTGGTAATCATAGCAAAAAGCTGTGTCAGCCCGGGACAGGCAGGAGACAGAAACCACACCAGTTATTTTAACACAGAAAATTTAATATAAAGAATTGTTAACTAAGTATAAAGTTGTTAATTGGGTGACTGAAAGGTTATAAAAAGAACTTGAAGGTAGCAATTGGAGGAAGCATTTGCCACCTCCAGGGCTGAGGGAACAAATAAAAGAGGCAGAAACTATCAAAACTTTAAAACTTCAAAGAGGAATTCCCTGGAGCTTAAATTCAGATATCTGAGAAAGGAACTCAGTTCAGCTGGGACTGGTGTCTCCGAGCTCAGGAAAGGGCCAGGTAGGTAAGGCAGTGACCGAGACTTCAGGGGAAGAGGGACTGGCATCTGGAGCTGTGGTCTCTGAGCTTCTGAAAGGGGTCCCAGGGGTCTGGAACCTGGATCCTGGAGAAGTCTGGTGCTTCATGAAGGAATTGCTGCCTGTAGTGAAGAAATATTGCTGGGAGATGCTCATAGGAACAGGGAACCCACAGGGAAAAAAGCAGCAGCAGCAAGTCCCTTTTGCTCCTTTAGACTTGTAATCTAACTCCACCCTGTATATTGGCAAAGTCTAACAAACTCAAACAGAAAGCAGCTAATAACACTAAAATGTGGTTTGCAGAGACCCAGCCCCAGCATTACAGAGCAGGTATCATTTATATTATCAAATATAAAAATCGCAGGTTGATCTGATTGCAAACATTATCCTTATAATGCATCCCCTCCACTCTGCCTCTACATGCAATCAATTTAATTTTTCTTTTTCCTTTTCTTGAGACTAAGTTTTCACTCTTTTTCCTGGCTAGAGTGCAATGGCACCATTTCAGCTTACTGCAGCCTCTGCCTCCCAGGTTCAAGGGATTCTCCTGCCTCAGCCTCCCGAGTAGCTGAGATTACAGGCATACACCAACATGCCTGTCTAATTTTTCATTTTTAGTAGAGACAGGGTTTCTCCATGTTGGTCAGGGTGGTCTCAAACTCCTGACCTCAGGTGATTGCTCGCCTTGGCCTTCCAAAGTGCTGGGATAACAGGCGTGAGCCACTGCTCCTAGCTTGATTTACTTTTTCAAAGCCATAAAAACAATGTTCTAGCAACATACAGGTAGATTTTCAAAAACAAAAAGACCTACCAATCATCAGACCATCTTAACACCATGACTTTTTTATTTTCACCTTTTCTGTTTCAGTCTTTCTTGTAGGCAGATGTAATTTTTCAGTTATGACTGCAGCACCCCACACAACTGAGTGTCTCTGCTGTATCACAAGCATCATTGCCTGCTGTTATGGAGGCTGTTGTCGCAAGTTCTCATTGAAGGAAATGCCATCTTCTTATTGATTTATCCTCTTTGATTCTTTGAACATCTGGATCGTATTCCTCAGGACCATTCTAGCTGCAAATGTGTGAAACTCTGCTCAAATCAGCTTAACCAAAAAAAAAAAAAAAAAAAAAAAAAAAATTTATGTAAGCGGCTGTGGGGTTGGGGAGGGGGTGAAATTGACAGGGGTAACTCACAAAATTAGAGCCTAAAACCAGGGATTAAAAAAGGCCAGAGCTCTTCCTCTCTGTCCATCTGTTGTATGGTCCTCTCTCTACCTCTCTTTGAAGATTAGCCTCCTTTCATACTGCAAACAGGTCTTCTTTACCTGGTAGGAACATGTTCGCCAGCAGCCTCAGCCTTGTAAATGTAATAGAAAGAGCATCCAGCTAGCAATCTCAGGGAAGGTCAGTGATTGGCTCTGTTGGTTCACATGCCCACCCAGGGAAGATCGGTGATTGGCCCTGTTGGTTCACATGCTCACCCATTGGGCCAATCATCTTTTTAGGGCAATCATGAATTATATCATTGGCCAGGCCATCATCTCTATGGCCAGGGTGGTTACAGGGCCTAATACGTTATCAGATGAAGGGGGCTGGGAAGGCTTCCTGGAAAGACAGAAAACAGCCACTATGTCACTACACAGGGTTTGGAATTTTCACCCTGGTAACCATTACTGCACATGTAGTTTTTGTTTCAATTGCCTTTTGAGAAATTCCCAAGGATAGGACGACTGCCATGGTGCTTGTCAGAGCACTACAGCATGTTTGTGTCTTCAGAGTGTGTTCACATCCAGTACATATGTGTGCCTCACAAAGAAATCCCAAGTGACAGAAAAGGAACCAGAGACACAAAGAAGCTGAGTGACAGATCCAGGGATGCACAGCAGATGAGGGCAGAAGTGAACTCAGAGCCCTGGCTTCCTGACTCCCATTCCAATGCTCTGCCCCTAAAACACCACAGTGAAAGGTTGGACTAATGGGTGAGAGGGTTAAAGCCCAGTGTCATCCCTGTCTGGTTAAGGGAGAGAGCTTCGTCTGCTGTCTTCCCCTCGGAGGAGCTGGGCCAGACCCCTTGAGCAAACGGGCTGGCAGCCCCTGCCTTCAGAGCCCGCTCGAGCTCTGATGGGGGATGTCCCTCCGCTGGACCTGGCGTCCTCCCAGTGCGCGCTGTCAGCCCGCAGCTCCTCCAGGACACTGTGAAGATGCCTCAGTGTGAGCAGGAGCCTCTGGTCTTGAATCTGCATCTCAGACTAGGAGAGAGAAGAAGCCTGTGAAGGGATGCACGGAGCCCTAGGTGTTTCCCCATCAAGCCCCTTTTCTCGCTGTCTCATCGGAGACAAGCCCACGTGTGAGTCGCACAACCTCATGGAAGCCGTATCCACCAAAGCCTCGGTTTCCTGCTCTGCAAAGCAGAAAGCAAATTGCTTACTTTTCAAGGTTCTCATGAGGCCTAAATGAATTCGCTCAAGGGAAAACCCTTTCAAGGGGTCAGCGAAGTCTAAACTACTTTTATTACAATACTAACATAATGTATTTCCTTTTTTTTTTTTTCCTTTCATTTTCTTATGAGCATACCATGGAGTTTTCCAGAAGCTAATGACATGTAATATCTCAACAGATTGAATTCAGGAGCAGCTATGAGAATCCAGCTGTGTTCTATTAAGACAGACATTAAAGCAATTAGGAACAATGTAAAATGGGGCTACTCTTCTCACTAAATATTTGCTTTGAAAAATTACTTTGAATAAGTAATGTTTTATTAACATATGAGTTTATTATTTCAGAATGCATTAGTAAGTATACTAAAAAATCTCAGCTCTGGTTTCTAATTCAGTCAGTATTGATGGATATAACTCACATAAACAAAAGCTTTTTGGTGGCCTGAATAATTTTTTTGAGCATAAAGGAGTCCTAAGATCCAAGTTTGAGAACTGCTCCACTAGAACTATGCTATCATCAGCTGTCTCTATTCCTTCTCCCATTTTTCTCTGGGAATTTTTTCCCATACATTTTCTCTCTTTTTATTTCTGTTTGTTTATTTATTTTTGAGGCAGAGTCTCACTCTGTTACCCAGGCTGGAGTGCAGTGGTGCAATAACGGCTCACTGCAGCCTTGAGCTCCTGGGCTCAACTGATGCTCCCACCTCAGCCTCCCGAGTAGCCGGGACTACAGGCGCACGGCACCACCAACCAATTTTTGTATCTTTTGTAGAGACAGGGTCTTGCCATATTGCCTAGGCTAGCCTCAGACTCCTGGGCTCACATGATCCTCCCACCTCAGCTCTGAGAGTTTGCTTTTTCTTAAAAATGTTAAAATGCTATTTTCTGACTAGATAATTCTTAACACATGACAGAAAATTTTAAAGCAACAAAAGGGCATATATTTTAAAGCCTCTCCCATCCCACCCCACTTTATCCCTCAACTCAAGCATCCTTCCCCAGAAACAGCCGCTGTGAATGCTTCCATTTGCCCTTCTGAAGCTGGTCGGGGTAACACCTGGTTAGATTTGCAGATTCTCAGCCTCTCTCTTTCTCTGTCTTTGCAAGAGATACTTATGAACATTATTTCCCCATTAAAAATAGTGTTTTCATTTTTGTGACAAGCTGATTACAATGGAGAAAACCAAGTCTGCATCCTCTACTCAAGCCTGAGTAACACTGCCAAGAGAATAGGTAGCTAGAGAGCTAGGAGGCTGAGCGCGGCGGCTCACACCTGTAATCCCAGCACTTTGTGAGGCCGAGGTGGGCAGATTGCCTGAGGTCAGGAGTTCGAGACCAGCCTGACCAACATGGGGAAACCCCATCTCCACTAAAAATACAAAAATGTAGCCAGCTGTGGTGGCGTGAGCCTCTAATCCCAGCTACTCTGGAGGCAGAGGCAGGAGGATCACTTGAAACCAGAAGGTGAAGGTGATAGTGAGGCGAGATCATGCCACTGCACTCCAGCCTGAGCGACAGAGTGAGACTCCTCGACCCCCTCCGCCCCCCTCCCCCCGCAAAAAAAAGAAAAAAGAGAGCAAAGGTGTAGATGGCCTCCCTCAGAACACTGGGACAGCTCAGGCTGCAGAGTGAGTGGTCCTGAGCCCATTTTTTCCTAATTCCTCAGAAAACATTCACTCTGTTTTCTTGATTTTAGGGTTTTCCTCCTGCACACTTTTTTGTCCAATCTTCAGCATCATTTCTGGATATGTGCCTGTAAGACCACAGTGGGGTGCCCAGCACAGAGGTGATGTTGAGTCACCCAGGCACCCACAGTTTCGGGGTGCACAAGGAAGGCAAGCTGCCGGGCGCTGGATGCCTGCTGACTGCGGGAAGCTGTGGCCCCTGCTGCTGGAGTCCCCTGGTCCCATGAGAAGCCCTCCTGGGTCAGCCCTTCCTCTGGGATGAAGACAGGGTTGGGTCCCAGCTGCCCTTTTGCCTGGCAACCCAGATAGGTCATTTTCAGACAACCCTGTCTGTCTCTCCCCAGAATGAGAAGTGGGTGTATTGAGAAACAAACCTTTTCTGAGGTTCCCTAAACTGCCACCTCTCTCCTGGTTGGTGTCCCCACACACTTGGGGCACCCCTCTTTTTTCAAACCTGGAGAAAATATCATAATGAAAGGCATAAGCTTGGCTTCCTGAGCAGCAACCATGGGACTAAGTCACATAACATAAGTTCAGGAGAGTTACTGCTCCATGGGGGAGGCCCTTGCCAATGGGAAATGAGAGACAGAACGAGCAGGGCAGATGCATTTCCTCTCATTCTCTCTCCCTCAATGTGCAGTTCCTCCTTCAACCCCTGCAGAGATCTCAGCTGCTGAGACACCCACTGGGCCTCCTTAAGGCCCCTCCTGAAGCCACAGGCAGCTTGGTATTACAATGTCTGGCATAATGGCCTGGCATAGCGTTGACCTCTACTGCCACACCTACTTCCTTCCCTATCACGACTCTGGGCTTGTACTTCCAAATAAAATGCTAGTTTCTCAATCCTTGCCCAAGCTCCTGCTTTCTAGAAGACCCAGGCTAAGACAGGGGGTGTACGCATGTCCATCCGGGTCAGGGTTATAATAGCCAGCATCAATGTGCCAAGTATTCATTCAGAGGATTACAAGCATCTCTTCAGTGAATTCTTACAATACCCCATACGATACTCATACTATTTTTATTCCCATTTTGTGATAAGGAAACTGAGGCTCAAAGAGGTAAAGCTCCCGCTAGAGGCCTCACAGTGGCAAAGCTGGGCACACACCCAGGACTCAGTGCCACTCTAAAACCAGTCTGGCCAGCACCATACCCAGCACCTCCTATGTAGGTCACGACCTACTTATGCCCGCACCTGAGATCACAATTGTGCATCGTGTGGCAGGTCCCAGAGGGGAGACTGCAGGGTCCATACCGTAGCTGGCAGCCTCTGCCCCAGGGGGGAACTAGGAGGGAAAACCTGAGATCCTTGGAAAATATGCAGTCGGGGCATCAAGGAAAAGAAATGCAAAACCTTACCAGCTCCTTTCTCAGCCACTCCAGGGTCTGCCCAAGGCTCAGGGTTGGCTCTTCTGCTGTTTTCATTTCAGTGTCCTTGTGAGTGACCTTGGCACTGACCTGGTTCTGGGCCTGAGGGGTGTTTGACTTGTACATTCCCCCACCTCCTTCAGACTGGCAGCAGGTCCTGGCCAAGTCATTGAAGATGGAGTTAATGAGAGCAGGAAGTAGCTCACATTGAAAAATGTAATTTGACTTTTTTTTTTTTTTTAAAGGGCTTTAGCGCTCTGAACAGTACAAGGAGGAAGGGAGGGAGACCATTAGGGGTCTGAATACCTTGGTGCCTGCTGGTTCCAGAAGCTAAGAATATGTGATGCCAACAGGACCACAAAGGCTGCAGAGCTTTAAATGGCAACAATAATAGTTATTATGAAAATAGGCATTCTTTTCTAAGGGCTCGCTTCGTGCTTTACATATAAAGTATGTTTATGTCTCATTTGGCATATACCTCCACCTGTGTTCCCAGCCGCCTTCCTCGTTTACTTATCTATAGCGTCTAGATAGAGGGAAATGTCCACTGTCCAAGTTCCCTTGTTTCTGGAATCCCCATGAGACCCATTTCCAGCAAATGAGATCAAAGCAGCAATTTGCTGTTAGGCTTCCAGAAAAAGTTTTACTTTCCTAATAAAAGGGAAAATATCACTGCTGCTTCCCCTTTACTCCTACTTTCTCCCTTTTCCTTCTGCCTTAAATATGGAGGTGATGTCTGGAGCTACAGTAACCGTCTTAGAACCATCAGACAAAGGGCAGTCACAGAGCCACTGGAAACCACTGCACCCCTGAATCAGCAACAGCATCTACCGGACACAACAGACCCCATTTCTAAGGGACACTCTGTTACTTGCAGGCAAACACAGTCCAGACACACCATTTATTCTTCCCATTGTTACAGGAAAGTGGTCCCGACCCAGACCCCAGGAGGGGGCTCTTAGATCTCATGCAATAGAGAATTCAGGGGCGGTCTATACAGTAAAGTGAGAGCAAGTTTATTAGGAAAGAAAGGAATGAAAGAATGGCTACTCCACAGACAGAGCAGCCTTGAAGGCTACTGGTTGCCTATTTTTATGGTTATTTCTTGATAACATGCCAAACAAGGTTTGATTATTCATGTCTTCCCTTTTTAGATCATAGCGGGTACTTCCTGATATTGTCATGGCATCTGTAAACTGCCATGGTGCTGGTGGGAGTGTAGCAGTGAGGACAACCAGAGGCCAGTCTTGTGACCATCTTGGTTTTGGTGGGATTTAGCTGGCTGCTTTACTGCCAATGTTTTATCAGCAAGGTCTTTATGACCTGTGTCCTGTGCTGAGCTCCTGTCTCATCCCGTGACCTAGAATGCCTTAACAGTCTGGAAATGCAGCCCAGTAGGTCTCAGTCTCATTTTACCCAACTGCTACTTAAGATGGGGTTGCTCTCATCTAAATGCCTCTGACACCATCACACTATGAAGCAGGTTTTCAATTCTCTCTTTCACCAAACACTTATTGAATGTCTACTGTGTGCCAAGTTCTGGTCTAGACACTGGGGTTATCAACCAAAATCAGAGAAACAAAGGCCTTGCTTTCCTGGAGCTGACATCCTAGTAGTCATTGGAAATAATCAATCAAATTAATGCTATGAAGAAAATAAGTAGAAGGTATTCTCACATAGGTCTTTTAAAATATAAATTTATTTGCCAGGCACGGTGGCTCATGCCTGTAATCTTAACATTTTGGGAGGCCAAGGTGGGCAGATCGCCTAAGGCCAGGAGTTCTAGACCAGCCTGGCCAACATGATGAAACCCCATCTTTACTAAAAATACAAAAATTAGCTGGGTGTGGTGGCGGGCGCCTGTAATTCCAGCCACTCGGGGAGGCTGAGACAGGAGAATTGCTTGAACTTAGGAGGCAGAGGTTGTGGTGAGCTGAGATTGTGCCACTGGATTCCAACCTGGGCAAAACAGCAAAACTCTCTCTCAAATATATATATATAATATATGTATATATATATGTATATATATTATATATATTAAATATATGTATATATATGTATATATATGTATTAAATATGTGTATATATATTATATATATTAAATATATAACATATTATATATAAATATATAATATATGTATATGTTATATATATTAAATATATAATATATGTATATATAAATATATAATATACATATGTAATATATGTATATATTATATATTATAGATATAAATATAATATACATGTATATTTATATATGTATATATAATATATACATATATAATATACATATATAAATATATAATACACGCATATTAGATATATAAAAATAAATATAAATATATATAAATATATAAAAATACATATATAAGTATATCATATACATATATAATATATGTATATATAATATAAATAAATATATACAAATAAATATATATAAATAAATATATAGGTATATTATATATTTATAATATAAATATATATATAATATATATGCACATTTATCTTATTCATATGAACTAGAAACTCCAAACCAAGAATTATCATAGTGACCCCAGATAAAGATGTGAAATGACTGGCAAAGCAAACTCAGCCAACTTCAGGGCGACTTGCTCTCAATCTGGCTACACAAAATATCCTCAGATAGAGCTCCCCTGAAGATGAACCAATAATCCAAAACCAAAACACACAAGGAAGCCATTCACCATAAATGAGAGTCAATGGTGAGAGATACCATTCACCCCTTCCCCCAAGAGCTTCAGATGAAGATAATTAAAAGTATTTTGAGGCCAAGTATGGTGGCTCACACCTGTAATCTGAACACTTCGAGAGGCCAATGCAGGAGGATCACTTGAGGCCAGGAGTTTGAGAACAGCCTGGGCAACATCACAAGACCCCATATCTACAAAAAAGTAAAATAATTAGCCAGGTGTGGTGTCATGTGCCTGTATTTACCAGCTTCTCAGGAGGCTGAGGCAGGAGGACTGCTTGAGCCCAAGAGGTCAAGGCTTGTAGTAAGCTTTGATTGCACCGCTGTACTCCACCCTGTCTCGAAAGAAAAGTATTTTGAAAATAATAAGAGGCATACAAGAAGGAATCAAAATCATACAAAAAAAAAAAGAGACTCTTTCTTTTTCCTTTTTTTTTTTTTTTTTTTTGAGTTTGAGTTTCACTCTTGCCACCCAGGCTTGAGTGCAATGGTGTAAACTTGGCTCACTGCAACCTCTGCCTCCCAGGTTCAAGCAATTCTTCTGCCTCAGCCTCCCAAGTAGCTGGGATTACAGCTACCCACCACCACACCCAACTAATTTTTGTATTTTTAGTAGAGATGGGGTTTCACCATGTTGGTTAGGCTGATCTCAAACTTCTGGCCTCAAGTGATTCACTCACCTCAGCCACCCAAAGGGCTGGGATTACAGATATGAGCCACCATACCCAGCCATAAGAGACACTTTTTAAAAGGCAGATTTGAAAAAGAATGCAGTAGAATCTATAGAACTTAAAATTATAGCAAACGTTTATAAATTAAAGAGAAAAGAGCATGTATTTATTGTAGCACCGGAAGACAGAGCTAGTGAGACAGGAGCTCAGCAGGACTTGTTCTCTGACACTGGTTACAATCCCAGACATAACTCCACTGATCAAAACAGGATCTGTTCAAACAGGAGGCTATGAAGTAAATGGCCAAAACCAACTAAAATCAAGATGGCCATGAAAGCAAATCTCGAGTTGCCCTCATTCCTCATGGAATGTTAATTCTAATTTATTAGCATGCTAAAAGACACTCCCACCGGTGCCATGACAGTTTACAAATGCCATGGCAATGTCTGAAAGTTACCTTATATGATTTAAAAGGGGAGGAATCCCCAGTTTGGGGAACATCCCACACCTTTTCTAAAAAATCTGTGAATATTCCACCCTTTATTTAGCATATAATGAAAAAGCAGCTATCTGTATAGTCAGCCAGCAATCCATGAATGCTACTGTGCCTATGGGGTTGCCCTGCTATGTCTATGGAGCAGCCATTTTCCTGTACTCTGTTGCTCTAATAAACTTGCTTTGCTTTCACTTTATTCTGTTGGCTTACTCTTGAATTCTTTCCTGCATGAAGCCAAGAACCCTCCCTGGCTGAGCCCCAATACTGGGTTTCACCTGTGTCACTATAGCAGTGGGTATATGACAAAAGGAAGCAGGCTGGGACTCAGTAGGAGGAAGATGTTGTTTAGAATTCTTCTAAGCAGTGGGAGCTCGGTCAATGCAGTGCAGAAGCATAGCCCAGATGGTCAGAGAGACTGGAGTAGGGGCTTTACTGGCTTAGCAATGGGACCTGGGGCTCCTTCCAAGTATAAGACTGACTGGGCAGGAAAAGGGATACTGTATAAGGAGCCAGGACATCTTGGCTCTAACTCCAGCCCTGCCAAACTGTCTGTGTGAACCTGGGCCTCATCCTTTCCCTCTTAGGCATAATGAGGCTCAAAATAGTTACTAAATCAAGTTGTAAGAAACATCACATTTCTTATATCCTGGTGTTTACAGCTTGAGATGCATTCTGACTGCCACATTCAGAAAAAATTTAGTGTGCAATTCCTCCTAGTTCAGCTATCACTTTTCAGAACCCAAGAGAATTGGAGAAACTCCTGCCTGCCATATTCATACCCCTTTTGAACACAAGAGGCCAGAGATGATTCTTCCAAACAGGTCACCAAGCTTTATATCACATGCCCTGTAGTCATGGGACAACTGCCTGGAGCAGAGATGAGTGCCTCAGCCCAAAGCAGCGTCTACAGACTTGACAGAAGAGAGATCATTGGCTCATGGATGACTGGTTTTTGAGGAGCTACATTTTGAGTGGTGACCAAATGATCCAATCAGATCTTCTCTCAGACATGTTGAATGTGCCACAGATTGAGAGGTTGGATTATCACAAGAACACTGTGTACCAAACCTCTCTAAAACTCCATACTTTCAAACAACAATCATTTCTTCTTGCTCGTGGTTTGCAGATGTGCAGCTCTGAGTCTGCTCCACAGAGCTTTTCTCCTCCTGGAATCACAGGGCTGCTGGGTCACACTCTCTTGGCAAAGGAGAAGAGAGTAAGTGGAACCATGGGAGGCCTCTTCAGGCTTAGGCTGAGAACTGTCACACTGTTGCTTCCG